CTGCGAGAGCGTCCCTGAATACTTTTCTGCAACTCCACACATTCTATATAAAAATAAATTGACAATCCAACTTTTATAAAAACATTGGACAATTAATTTACCAATTTCTACCCCTAACTTTTCAACATCAAAAACTTTGTGTTGTTTGGAACTCTCTTCTTTTATACTTTTTATTTTATCTCTAAAACCAAAAAGACCAAAATATTTTACAACTTCTTTTGTAAACTTTTGTTTAAATTAAATTAACTCGCGTCTCTCTGAGGTTCGACACCCTACTTACAAGGGATTCTTTTTAGTTGTTATTTTTGCCCGCCCCCACACACACACACACATATTTGTTTTTTATAACATACTCCCTCTGTCTCAAAATAATTTTCCTACTCTAGGTTTTTTTCATTTGAATATAATTTTCTCATTCTACCTTTTCATCTCAACTCTTCCATAAATGCCTCATCTTCTTCTCTTCCTTTATTGTTCCGTTTTCTTCTTCTTCTTTCTCTCTAGTCTTTTTTCAGCCATCATCTGCTTTCTCTCTCTTCCCCTCCCCCTTCTTTTTCTTCTCATCCTCGTTTTATTCATCCTTCTCCTTCTCTTTCTTTTCTCGACTAGATCTAGCCATCATCTTCCCTATCTCCATCTCTCTCTCTCTCTCTCTCCTTCTTTTCTTTTTCTCCTCGTTTTCTTCTTCTTCCAGAGTCAATTGAAGCCACTGGTTTTTTAATATCTGGAAGAACGCAATTGGGCGCTGTATGTTCTTCGATCGGGAATCTGAGCAGAGTAAATTGAAGTATTGATGTCCTTTGGTCCTGCGTAGAGAAGATCCTAACTGCTATTGTGGGGATGTAGAGATTTGTTTATGTGGCAAAAGATTCACCTTGGGGTCTGATTTGGGAAGCAAGAAGGAGAGATAGCTCAAATTGCGCGTTGCGCAGTAGATTCGTCGCCTTGTGTTTGGTTTGTGCATCAATAGATCCGTCGCTGTGAAGGATTGGGCAGTAAGGGAGAGTGGCGAGCTGGTAAATGAAGGATAGGGGTATTTTAGACAAGTTGTACACAAAAACAACTTGCCAAAAAAATGATTAAAAATGGGAAGTTCTTTTCGAGAGAGAGAAAGTATCTTTTAGTAAAGTGCAATTATGTGATTAAATTGTATTTATAAGAAAGAAAAAAATACGAAGTGCATATTTCATATTTTAAAAGAAAAGTAGAACAAAATTTTTGGTAACTAAAATAAACTTGAATGAACATAATTATGGGTTAGTAATATTAATGGGTATAAACCCAATTTGGACTGGGGCTACAGTTCAATTTACTTTTTTGTTAAGAGATTTTACCCTTTGATTTATTGTGACAAGTAACTTTTTGGAAGAGTCAACTGATCTAAAGTGAAATATACTCAAAATAATGATTGTAGATCAAATGGATAAGGCTTGGGCTTGGCAAATCTATTCATCTAGGCTAAAGTATTTATGTCTGTAGCACTGTATTACTCATTGCTTGGACCCACACTCTCTTTGACGACATTGAAAGTATGATGTGCTGTAAGTCATTTATTGTGTCTAAAAACTACATTACAAGGCGGCATAACGCTAATTAATCATTATAAATAGTCATTTAAAAAATTAAGGGGCGCTGCCCCCGAAGTCCCGCCCTATTATTTATTATGAGTTTGTCATTAGTGGTACTTTTTTCTAGAACCGCCACTGTAAAGTTTGCATGTCATGTGGAGGGCTAGAACACTCATACATCAACTTTGTTATCTGATAAGTTGTTTCATTCTTATTTTTTACTTCATATCTTAAACGTTATTCCACGTAAATTAGAAATACACTATGTATAAAAACACTTTTTTGCATTCAAAATATTTGTTTTTGTAAAAATGTTCATAAAAAGTTTGTTAAAATTATATCTGATAATTCAAATTAAATTTGACAATTCTTAATAAATCTGTCAACTAAGAGAAGAAAGTTGTGCATAATAATTTATTGGAAAAGTTGGGACAAGATTTAGACTTTAGAGCTTAAAAAAAGATGAGAATTAATGATACAATGGGGAAAAAGTTCAGTTTACAAAGCCCAAGCCCAGACACGAGGGGAGGCTCTAGCCTGGGATGGGGCCTCGGTAAAAACCCAAAATTGAATATGCGCCCTCTCAACAATTCAGAGCCACTAGAATTTTCTGTTAAGGTCGAGGTGCCAGGCGAGGCCCCAACCTGGGCTGATGCCTCAACCCACTTTCTCGCCTATTTAAGTGTTGCTTGGCTGAGTTGGCTCCTCTCTCAACCACTCAGTTATCCATTAGCTCTCTTCTCTCTCTAAAGCCATTTTTGGATGAAATTTTTTTACTCCCTCCGTTCTCAAAAACTTTTCCTCTTTTATTTTTTTTCGCTTCCAATAAAATATTTCCACTTTCTATTAAAAAACCACTTTTACCCTTACTTTTTCATACCCTACCTATCACATCATACTTTTTCTCTAATACTCAATCCATCACATCTTACTTTTACCCATCACATCAAGGACAAAATTGGAAGTCAACTACAATTTAACACTTCCTTATTTTTACACAAAGTCAAAATAGGAACACTTTTTCCAAACGGAGGGAGTAGTATATTTTTAATTTAGAGGTCCAAATTTGTTTTAATTCCTTTTTTTCTAGATGTTGTAAGTCTTCTAAAATATTATAATAAAATTTTATTTCACTTTATGCAATTATTTTATGTTCATGATAAAATAAACACTTTAGGAATATGAATTGGAGTAGGTAGTGGGTATGTAGCAGAAATAATTATGTTGAAATATTAAATTGAATTAATTAAAATGCTAAGTTGCTAGTAATTGTAATAATGTTCTAATTAATTTATCTGGCCAATTTGTTATTACAAGTTATTGTATCTCGATGATGATGATAGTGATCATATATTTGAAGGCTGGAGATAGTTGGAATTTCCTCTTCCTAGTCTGAATCGTTATTTTCGAATTGTGGGTTTGGGTTCGATCCGTCGGTCAATTGTTACAAGGTTGTTAGGATTGTTATCATCTCTTTCAATGAAAGGTATCCTTACCATTCAATCGCTCATCCTCTAATTTTTTTCTCTACTTTTTTCTGTTCTTTTTTTGTGACTCCATCATAGCCATACATATATGATGTCTGATATAAATTTTGTAATGAGACGTGGAAATAGCATTTATTTCAAATCTTCACCGTCGCTTCGTATTTCTTACTAATTATAAACACTTAATTTGCATTATAAGTTTCATGCAACCACCCCTCACATAGCCGGGATTAACGTGATGATTTTTATTACCTCGGCCCTGATCTTATATAGTGCCATAATTAGCACTGAGAAGTTTAAATTGTGAATATCTTGAAGTATAATGGCTAGGATTGGATAAAACTTGATTTTGTGAGGAATCACAATCCAAGCCTAAAGCCAATTGTAGATCAACTCCATACTGACCCCTCAGAGTGTTGTGATGCGAGTCCAATGGCCTGTGAGTGTGGTACTGTGGTAGGTTAATTTTCCTCATAACAATATGGTAATAGGTTCGAACTCTATGACATAATCACCAAGACTATTGTAAGTATTTAAAATAGAAGTTTCCCTTTATCAATAAGACATTTGCGAGCTTAATTACAGACTTTGACAAATTTAAGTCTCACTAAGGTTTCTGTCATGGCATGAAACTTGTTCTACGTAGGCTTAGTCAAAGTGAGTCTCCCTTATTCAGGGGCTTATCTGAGTGTGTTCTCTTCCACACATTGTTCGTACCATCTTTCCTTTAGGAGGATATTTCATTGACTGTATTTGAGTTGATGCAGATTTGTCCAGATCAGTGCTTTTACAGAATACACACAGTATCTTCCTATGTCCCATAAAACTCGTTCCACATTTTCTTTTTTGTTTGTCCCGAAGTAAGATTCCAATGTGAGTATAAAGAAAGAATTGTGTGGTTATTACTTCCTCCGTTACTTAGTAAATTCAACGGAGGAGGATTTGACACTATTCATTCATTCACTTTTGATTATGTTTTGTGATTTATATATAAAACAAAAACTTTCATGCGGGGTCTTGAAAATTGAAATAAACTTTCGTGATATCAATTTTTTTATAAAATCATAATTCAAGATATGGATTATTCGCTTTATGCATTTGCAAGGGTAAAAGTTTGATATTGCATTTATTTAAGAACGGAAGAAAAATTATTTGTCTCCTTTACATTAATCTCAACCACAAAATTTTACTCTTCTAAATAATCGTGATGATTCCAACGGGGAACCTTATTTTGGGACGGAGGTTGTATTATTAATTGGTGTCCTTACCTTTTTGAATTGTGTTTTACAATGATAAAGTTGTACTCCATACTAGAGTATGCGTGGCTGTGGGCAAGACTCTTTGCCCTATCACAAAGTTTACACAGTTCAATTTTCATCTCTTACTGTTTTGATGGGAACTTGGTACTCTCGAGATCCATACAATTAGTTACACAAATCCACGACATTTTGCTATTATATTTTTCTTCTTAGATAGAATTGAAACAAGTAATGTAACACCCCAATCCGTATAACCCGGAATTACACGAATTAAGGTGAAACGAGAGTTAAATAAAAATTTCGCTTGACATTTGAAAATGACAATTACTTATAAATATTAAATTTACAGACTCTGGATCGCGACCCATTTAAAAAAATATTTTCAGAGTAATGCGGAAGTACAATAATAATCAAATCATGACACATTTAAAAATCTGATGATCAACATTTGCCTGCCATCCTTGCATCTCCTCTGACTCAATGCCCTCCGGAAAAGGTTCCATCATTGTCTTCTTGTTACCTACGTGTAGTCAACGAAAAAAAATACAAATTACACGCTCAGCGAAACCGCTGAGTGGTACCACGCTAGAATTGTAGAATAATTCATAGACATATACATTTACATATATATGTCCACAAAAAGTATAATAATAATATTCATAATATGGCACATTATATCATATGGACAATCTGATGAATCATGATGATAAATATTTAATGATAATTACATGATGGCACAATAAATCAATTTGCTTGTGAGGATGATTACATGATACTCATATAATCCATATATACTTGTTCTTGATGATGATTACATGACATCTATGTAATTGATGTACTTGATGATGATAACATGATGCGTAATTGATGTCACACATAATCATGATGATTTTACTTGATGATGACTTCATGATGTATGATTCTAAGTCGCAAGGACGAGCCTTGAACTATGAGATTCGCCCATTTGGTACGACGAACTCACGCAGAAATAGGGGTGGTACTCGAAAATCTAAGTACCATGTACGTACACTAAGCCCGGTCCGTGATGTCGGACTGCTAAGTCCCGCACAATCACAACTACAAGAGAAGCACTTCAGCCTGATCTCTTGCGCATGCACATGATGTGATATGTTTCAATATGAATGATGAAATGAATCACATGATATGAACAATTTGTAAGCAACATGATTGGATAAATATACTTTATTTTATTTGGATGTAATCTGATAAAAATATCATTAAAATAAGTTACGGGGCTCGGAACACCGTGACGGTCGACTTTGGTTGACCGGCGGTTGACCGTTGTTGACTAACTGAGAAAGACGGTCCTCGGCTCGGCGGGCGGCAGTCGACCGTCAGCCACCGGCGGTCAACCGTTTGGCTGACAGTCCTGGTTCGTCTCGAAGTTTAACGCGGCGGTCGACCCTTTGCGTCGACCGTTTAGGTCTGTGAAAGTTTCTCTTGATATTTTGAGTGTCCAAAATACTTCTTTAAGTCTTTTAAACACCTTTGATTAATATATACATTTTTGGGTTGATCTCAAATGTTTATATATACTTATGTGTGTGTATATATATATATATATATATATATATATATATTAACTTTATGGATTTGGCATATTTTGTTCTTAACACAAAGATGACTAATATATGTGTCACATATATATTTTGGGATGATTTCAACATATGGATTAACATATATGTTCATGTACGTATGTGATGAATGATTCGACAAGTCTAACGCAAAGGTACTGACCTGGAAATCATTGGCCGAAACCTTACGGATGAGCGGGAGTGGAAACAACATCGAAATTCACCAACTTTGTCATTTCCGAAACAATTGGACAGCCTGCGGTATTTTGAGCATATCTCCATCGTTTCTTCACGGAATCGCAAACCAATTGATTCTGTGGATTCCTAAGACGTAAGGCTACAACTTTTATGAAGCAACCATGTTAAAATAATGAGTTTAAAGTGGTCAAATATAGCTCACAAGTGGACTCATAGTTGCTGCCAGGATTTTGGATGTTCCAACGAACAACGATTCCGACGATTATCTCATTAACTTCAATATTCTAACGCCGAACCTTCTCTACGATACCTTCCGGATGTTCCTAATTAAGTGTTAGAGAGTTTATGGTAAGTTCTTGGAATGAAACAATATGAATTTGGTGAAGAAAATGGTCCAACCCGAGGAGCTCGCCACCACTGGCGCAGTTCCGGTATTTTGGCCATATCTTCTTCGTTACTCAACGAAATCGCGAGCCGTTTGTTGGGCTGGATTCGTATCGTCCGGGGCTACAACTTTGGTTCAGAAATTATTTCGAGATAATAGATGGAAAATTTCAGTTTTTACCTCAAAGTGGACTGATGTGTTTTGGTTTCAGGATTTTGAGACTTTTATGGTTTTCTTCTTGCTTCTTCTTCTTCCTCCTTAGTATACAACCATGGAGCATTGATGTTTTCTTCTCCTTCTTTGGGCTGCCGACAGAGAGAGAAATGGAGAGGAGAATTGGATGAATGATGGTGGATGATGGTGATGGTGTATAATGATGATGGTGGTGGTGGAATTGTGTAGGAAAGGGTTGAGATTTGGAGTATTACGTAGATTTAATGTATTATTAAGTAGTGGAGAATAATGGGGTGGCTAGTGGAGTGACTTACGTGATTGGGGAGGGATTTTAGAATATTAGTTTTGGACTTTTGTCCAAACTGAACAGTTTACTCCAAACGGTACGCGCTTTTCGCCCAAACTGCTCCGAATTGAAAATGGATTGTGTTTTTGGAATCAGACTGTCAAAACTAGAATTTTGACATAATCAAAATATTTTTCTGAGAACTTTTATTTTTCTCAGTGTCCGGGTCTGTCTCAGTCATAATTTAATATAATAATATGAATGAGATAAAAATATATGAATTAAATCCAAATGATAAATATGATATTGTCAAGTGTCAAAATTATGATTTCTAATCTGATGAAATCACTTTTGAATTTAGTTTATTTTATGGGTCAAAGTTACAAATTTTACTATTTAAAATTGACATAACTTGAAATCTACAAATCAGATTNGACTGTCAAAACTAGAATTTTGACGTAATCAAAATATTTTTCTGAGAACTTTTATTTTTCTCAGTGTCCGGGTCTGTCTCAGTCATAATTTAATATAATAATATGAATGAGATAAAAATATATGAATTAAATCCAAATGATAAATATGATATTGTCAAGTGTCAAAATTATGATTTCTAATCTGATGAAATCACTTTTGAATTTAGTTTATTTTATGGGTCAAAGTTACAAATTTTACTATTTAAAATTGACATGACTTGAAATCTACAAATCAGATTGGTTTATAAAATGTACCGTTGGATTCGTCTCTTCGAGACATATCCATAAATATAACTTTTTAATAAAAAGTCATTATTTTGAAAATCCATTTATTTTTAGTCAAACGTACAAATATTCTTTATTGGATAAAAACTACTATTGTTTTATAATAAATTTTAGGCCATATCTTGTGGCGTTACAAGTAAAGTTACTCAATTTCAACAAATCAATTCATTGCATTTGAGTCTGAGGCACAATCAACAATTTATTTGCTTATTCATTGATTTAGGCTATGTTTTCTTCAACTTATTCTTATTAGAAATAGATCAGCCCAGAGCAAATCAGATCACAAACAATTTTAAATATAACTAGAATCAGACCAGATCAGACCTTAATAAAATTAAATTAGATTAACGAGCTATTACTTTTCTCTTGCAGAATCCCAACCAGTCGTGAAGGAAAGAAAAGCTCATTGGAGCCTAGTCATTAGACTGAATGGCACTATGAAAATTTGTCGATTAGGTTGTGAGCATATGATGCTTCAAATTTGCAGTATTATAGAGAATAAGACCGGATCCTTCATATCATCGAGTATAGAGCAGTACTACAGAGAAAGCCATCCTTCCCATTCTGTGGCTTCAATGGCTGATGCATTGGGTTCAGAAAGCATGTTTCAGGCATAGTACTGATTGTGATTTTGATTATGCATTTTCCTCTCGAGTGTATTATGCTTTAGGTGCATTGAAAATGGCATGAACTGTTAGTGTGTTTTGATTGACTGCTGTATGTGAGTTGAATCATTATCAATTCTTTTCACAATTCTACATTCTTGTGCCACACATAATAAACAATATATTACATGGTACTAATTAACAGATCTAACCTGGAATTAAAATAAAATGTGTCTATATATCTATTTGTAGACACACACAAACACGCGCTCACACAAGGAATCTTCTACTAGAGGGGCGTCCCTGTTTTGTCATGATTCCCACTAGACTTGAGTTCTAAGGGCTCGGCATCAACAAGCATTCTGACAACATTTTTCATTGTCGGCCGAAGATTTGGTAGCTTTGTGGTGCAGATTGTGGATATCCTCAGGACATTAATCATGTCATCCTGGACTAGTTCTGAAACTACATCAAGATCAAGAATTCTCAGAATACTTTCACGGTTTTCTAAATGCGTCGAGACCCAGTAGACTATGTCCTTCCCTTCTCCGTAAGCATCATCTATTGGATTTCTTCCTGTTACCAGTTCTAAAAGCACAACACCAAAGCTGTACACATCACTTTTCTCTGTCACCCGAAGTGTATAGGCCATCTCTGCGTACAAACATCCCCAGTTAAAAATTCAGTGGGAAAAGGGGGAAAAAAGGAGAAGAAAAAAAGTGACCACTCGTAAAGCTTACCGAGAGCCATGTAACCATGAGTTCTTGCAAAAAAGCTGAGGTCAGACCCTCTTTGAGAAAGTTCAGAAGTTCTTGCAACACCGAAATCTGAAACTTTGGCCTCATAAGCCTTATCAAGAAGAATGTTGGTGGACTTGATATCTCTGTGACAGTCATGGTGCAGATAAGATATTCCTTTAGCAGCTCCTAGTGCAATTTCATACCTCTGATCCCAATCCAATTCTGGCTTCCCAAGTTTGATCTTGCGGTGAAGTGCTTGGAAAAGATTGCCATTTGCCATGTACTCAAAAACCAAGTAATTTGAACCTCCATTCATTACACTTGCATAGAGTATCACTATATTTCTATGCCTGACCGTCCGCAGAATCTCCATCTCTCTGGCTAGAACTCTCACTCCATCTCCTTTCCACAGTTGCTTCACTGCTACAGTGCCACAACCTTTCTTCAAATCAAGACGATAGACTTTTCATGTGCCTCCACTCCCAATCAAATTCTCCTCGTCCATGCCACATATTTCATCAGCATCAAACTCTATAGGATGGAAGCTCTCAAGCTTCCATTTCGGGTCCACTCCCGTGGCTTCCCCAAATTGTTTTAAAGCATTTGCCTCTCCGTGCATATTGTTGTTCCAATAGCTCACAACCAATAACCCCACCAAGAGGACAGTTGCGGATAGAAATGCAACGCAGAGAACACGTATCTTGCTATTGATGAGTCTGTTGTGGTGAGTGGCTCTCCAACCACAAACACCTACGGGCTCCGTGTTTATTTCAGTTTTTATATTTTGATCCACACAAATTCCCTTGTTACCAAGGAATGCCTTGTCTCCTCCCATCATCAACAGATCATAAGGAACTTCTCCGTATAGCTGGTTGTTGGACATATCAATTGAAGAGAGTTTCAGGCCGCCTAAGCTTGTTGGAATTGAGCCGGTCAGCTTGTTGTTTGAGAGATTTAGGGAGTTCAACAAGGAGGGCATCACTGTGAGGGAGTCGGTAATGCCACCACTTAGCTTATTATAAGCAAGATTTATATCTGCCAACCTACGGCAGTCACCTAATTCCACAGGGATTGGTCCGATGAATGAGTTTTTCTCCAGATGCAAGGACGTCATTTGCTTTAACACACCAAGATTGGATGGTAACAAGCCAGAGAAACCATTGTTGTCCAAGTAAAGCCTCTCCAAGAGAGAGAGATTTCCAACTTCTTTTGGCAGCCAACGTGAGACTTTGTTGTTTGACAGAAATAACTGGTTCAAGTTTGTAGCAGATCCTATCCGAGGGGAAATTTGTCCAATGAAACCATTATAACTGAAATCGATCATTTTTACATTTGGAAGGGCCCATACCCCTTCAGGGATTTTTCTAGAGAGCTGATTCTAAATGACTCTCAACCTCTTCAAAGGCGTGCATGCAGCATAAGCATCTGGAAACTCCCCAGTAAATCTATTCTCCACCGCAAGCAAATACTGTAACTTACCATTCTGACACAAGTTTTTTGGGAATCCACCAGAAAATTGGTTTTCAGAAATGTCTATGCTCCTTAGTGGTGAAAACCTGCCAAGATTTTCTGGGAAATCACGAGAAAACCTGTTCTCGAATACGGAAAAGCTAATGAGATGCTGCATATTGCCAAATCCTTGAGGGATTACTCCTGAGAAGTTGTTTCTCGCCACCTGAAAAACGGTCAACTTTTTCAGGGATCCGAGGGCTTGAGGGAGCGTACCATGCATCTGGTTATTAGAAACATCAAACTCCTCCAAGAGGGTGAGCGCTGCAAGTTTAGGAGGAAGCTCGCCCGTCAGATTATTGCTATAGAGTTCTATTTTGTAGAGGTTTGTCATATTGCCTATCATCTTCGGGAGATTCCCAGAGATGTGATTCATGCAGATATCCAATGTCTGCAATGCCTCCAAGCTGAAAATAGTCTTTGGGATTTCTCCTACCAAATTTGAACCGGCCAGGTATAGCCATGTTAGTTTCTTCAAATTCCCAATGCTCTCCGGAATTCCTCCCTCGTTGAAATCATTTTCGCCGAGGCCAAACGAGACAAGACCGGTAAGATTTGCAACCCAAGATGGGAATTCTCCAGAAAAATAGTTGATGGACAAGTCAAGAACCTCTAAGCTGGCCAGCTTTGATAAATCAAGGAGGGTGCCATTCATGTTGGTTCCAGTGACATTCAAGACTCTGAGATTGGTACAATTGGTCAGTTCAGTGGGGAGAACTCCCGACAAGGCATTCGATGGGAGCACCAGAGATGTGAGGTTTTGAAGCAAAGAAACCGAGGTTGATATCACCCCCGAAAGACTCTGGTTATCAAGCGAGATCTCTGAAACCAAACCGGTTATTGGGTCACACGTGATGCCGTAAAAACGGCAGGGGCTTTCCGTATCTTCCCACGAACCCAAGACATTCAATGGGTCACTGAGATGCTTTTTCAATTCCGGAAGGGCTTAGGTTTCTACCCTCAGAGGCGTGGATGGGAGGAAAAACCAGAACACAAGTAAAAGATTCGCATGAATTTTGAGTAGGAGGTGGTTTGGGTTTGTGGCCATTATGGAAACTGATCAGAGGTCAACACATAAACTTCGCCAGGGAAGGAGAAATGTTGTATCTAACTAAGCCTTCATTATTATTGCCATGATGAGGATGAGGGGTCGCCCATACTAACTAGATCTAGCTGAAACAAAAATACCAGCAGCAATCATTACTTAGCAAACCATAAATCATTGTTTTAAGAAACAAACAAAAATAAAATACTAATAAATTCCACATCCTAATCATTTAAATCCTACCCCAATTTTTTTTAATTTTCAATCTTTTGTTTTATATTTTCATCCATTTAATAAATTCTACATCCTAGTCATTTAAATCCTACAATTCCTTTTTTTCTTCAATCTTTTATATTCTCATCATTTCGTTTTTTGTCCATCACAAAGTTATCCCTTTTCAGTATAATTTCCACTTTCCATCTCATTTAATTTAAGCAGAATGTTTCACTTTTATTAGAAATTGTGTAAATTTAATTTATGTGAGATTAAATCACATAAAAAATAATCAAAAGATACCAAAACTCATATTTTCGAGACTCACCAAACACGCTATAAAAAGAAGGATAAAACATGTGAATTCCGTAATGCTCCGAAATGTTTTCTCGACATAAATTGGGAGTGGTGGTAAAATGTAGGGAGAAATAATAACCTTTAAATACTTCCTGTCTTTGCCAACTCCGCAACGCCCACCCGCACTTATTTTTTTTATTCTAGAAAATGAGGAAAGTCAGTCTCATCATGGGGGTGAACGAAATACATCACCAAAAAAAGTGGTGAGTGACACATTTGGGAATGGAAAGGCACTCCCACCCACTTGCCACAACTAACTAACCAGTGAATTTGTACAGACAAGCCAAGACATGATATGTGATTACAGCATTTGAATACCAAACTCAATGAATTGAATGAATGTTCTTCAATACTTATTTTTTATACCAAAAAATAAAATTTTCGGAGGATAATGTTAGGTAATGCCACCATATAATGTCAAAAATGTACTGTGAAATACCACTGTACGTACTTGGCATAATAAGGAAGCAGGTAGCGGCATAGTTACCATGATCGAGCAGGAAATTCTCCTCTATATCTATCGGTTGCAAGCTAGCTTGTTGTTGTGAGACTAAGGCCGCAAGAATGGAGAAAAGGCCGCAAGAAGATATATATTGATTGCAGTTGCACAGATAGAATTGAGATGTGGCTCACAGCTGAGAGAAAACACAAGAGATAGGAATGTTTCTTTTAACCTCTTTTATTTTTTATTTTTTTAAAAAAAAAGAAGAAGAAAGAGAGTTGGAAGATAAAGGTAAGATATATAATAGGACGGATATGAATGATTAGATGATAATATATGGAGAGGGAGGGAGTGGGAGGTGGTGGAAGGTGGGAAGAAGCTAAGGTGGGGTGTGGGAGATACGGAGATCGGCACTTTGGAGTCTGAGGCAGACCGCCACCCCAATATGGACAACACTTCTTTCTTTTCTTTTCTTTTCTTTTCTTTTTTTCTTTTAAGTTTAATGGGGGGAAGGGGTGGTGGATCAGATGAATCGCAAGCTGCCAGAAAAGCTCTATCACGTTGTTATGGGGGTGGGGTGGCAGAATGATGATGAAGAAGATATGACAACCCCCCACCACACTTTCATCCACTTCTTTTTTCACAAACCCACTCCTTTATAGTTCTCATAAGAGAAATTTACCTAAATAGGACTAAAACATAATGACTTTCACAATATAGGACCATATGTTTTTATTTCCCAATGTAGGACCTTTGGTCATTATCAAGTAGTCATTATTCAACTAAATGTTCATCATTACTGGACATTATTCCTTCCACTAGGTCATTACTAAGTCCTATTTAGGGAATAAAAAAGTTTAAGTCCTACATTAAGAAAGTCATTATGTTTTAGTCCTATTTAGTGCAAATTTCACTTCTCATAAATGACGTTGTTCCTCGGTTTGTTAGGTTCTGAGAAAAAACATTTTTGGAAAATATGACTATTTGTCCATTTTCATTTTTCGGTCAAAATCAATTAACTTTGACTTCAAATTAAATGAAAATGATACTCCCTCCGTTCCTAAGTATTTTCTACTTTTGATTTTTTCGGTCAAATTTGATAAGCTTTGATCTCAAATTAAATAAAAATAATAGTAGATATTGATACAAAAATAGTTTTATTAGATTTATTATATGAAATATTTTCAAATTATTATTTTATCTAACTAAAATACTATATATATTTCATTTAATTATATGTCAAAGGTTGAAAACGATTGACTGCAAAAAGTCAAACTTGGACAAATACTCAGGAAAAGTGGTAGTATTAGATATTGATACCAAAACAGTTTTATTAGATTTATTATATCAAATATTTTCAAAAAATATTATATCAATTAATATACAATATATATTTTATTTAATTATAGGTCAAATGTTGCAAATAGTTGACCGAAAAAAGTTAAAACTAGACAAATACTCAGGGACAGGGATAGTATAAGAGGAATTCCCAAGTTGGAAACTTTATTACAATAGGAAACGAAATAAACAAGGAAAAAGAATAAATATACAAGGAAACAAATATGAGGAGATATTTACGTTACTATTCGTAACACCCCCTCAAGTTGGAGCATGTAACAGTGAAATGCTCAACTTGGGAAGCAGAAGCTCCAAATGAGACTTTCCAAACGCCTTGGTGTGTAGATCAACTAGTTGTTGACTCATGGACACGTCAACCTCAATATGTTTCGTGCGTTCATAAGAAATTGATTTGTTGCAATATGTAGGGTAGCAGTACTGTCACAACAAATTTTCATAGGATAAGTATGAAATATACCAAGAAAACCAAATAAACCCTTCAACCATTTTAGTTGACACGCAGTAGCGGCGAGGGCTTATAGTCGACCTCAGCGAAGGATCATGCCACAGTAGTTTGCTTATTTGTCTTCTAAGATCCTGGAGAATCTCAAGCTGTACAAACTATCCTGTCAGAGATCTCAGTGTGAGCACATAATGCCCAACACCTATTTGCAGCAGACAAAAGTAACATCCCTTAAGATATCGCACCATACACAGTGCCGCGTGCAAATGATCTTCTCGTGGCTCTTTGACAAACTGAGCCAAAGTATGAACTGTATAAGCCAATTCGGGATGAGTAAAAAATAAGTAGACCAAGTGACCCAGAAGACTCCTATACTTAACCGGTTTTGAAAGCAAATGACTTAGAAAGAGCTAGACGATGATTCTCCTCCATAGGTGCGCCATGGGGCCACGTGATAATCGTGGTGGTCGTTATTGTCGTTTTGTGATCTCTCAAGCCATGATACTCGATTTTGTCACAAACTCTAGTGATTGTTAAGTGACATTAACGTCACTATAGCTTCTCAAGTCTCAACACAATGATAGTCTCGCTGCCCATGATACTGTGTCCAACGGTCATAGTAGTCACATAGATGCTCAATGGATTGTTGATAGCAGTGCTTCCCACCATGTGGCCAATGACCCATCATCCCTCAACACCGTAATGGAGTATGGTGGACCAGATAAAATTTGTTTGGGTAATGGTAAGACTTTAACCATCTCTCAGACTAGAAAGTCATGTTTGTCAACTCCTACTTGTTTTCTTACCCTGTCCAATGTTCTTTGTGTTTTCTCTCTCCTCCAGCTCCTTTGCATAATTCCTCTATCTTACCCACTTTTGTTCAACCGTTAAACTCCCCTCCTACTATGTTAGATAATTCATCCGTTTCTAGTGGTCCTTCTCAGGCTCTTCAACCAGTTCGTGAGTGACGGTTAAATTTATGTTACTTTAATGATCATGTTGTTAACCATGTTTCCTTTGTTGTCGTGGGGACTTCACTTACTTGTTTGCGGCCACGTAAGGATGCAAATTAGAGGGCTGCCATGGATGTGGAACTCTAAGCCTTACAAAGGAATCATACTTGGGACCTTGTTCGGTGCTCCTCTCGGCAGCCCATTCATTGCAAATGGGTGTTTTGTCTCAAACGCAAATCAGATGGGACTATGGATCGATACATGGCGCATTTGGTTTCCAAGGGTTTTCTTTAGCAGCCGGGTTGTGACTATTTTGAGACATTTAGTCTAGTCGCTAAACTTGTTACAATTTGCCTAATCAGCATACTTCTATTGGTATTTGGTTGGTCTCTTCGGCAATTGGATGTCAATAATACTTTTTGAAATGGCATTTTTCATGTGGAGGTATATAGGGAGCACTACTCCGGCTACAAAGATGATGTGCATCTTGATTATGTGTGTTAGCTTTGCAAAGCACTTTTCGGCATGAAACAAGCCCCTAGAGCATGGTATTTGGACTTTACAAACTTTTGACTTGGATTCGGTTTTCGAAAGTCACGGGTAGATGCTTCGCTCTTTCTTTATGCTAGAGATACAATGCGGCTTTATTTTTTGGTTTATGTGGATGACATTATTGTTACAGGCAATTCTGTTAGAATAAAGGCCCAACTCTAGAGGGGGGGGGGGGTGAATAGCGTTTAAAACAAAATCGCAGGAAATTAAAACGAGAGCGTTAAAGTAAAGAGCGTAAGGAAGGAGCACACCGGATTTTATCCTGGTTCACCACAACGTGTGGCTAATCCAGCCCCCCCGAGAGACTCTCTCGAGCTACACTAACTCCGTTAAGCTTAAGGGTGCTTAACAAACCGATACAACTTGAGAACCCGAGTCACACGAGCCTCAACACCTTTGCTTGGAAATACCGCACTCCAAGACTTCTCACGAAGGAACAAGGAACTTCCTTCGAGTTTACAACAAGGGAACGACCTCCCTTAAAGTGTATGAAAACACTTAAACACTCAGGAATAAAACTCTCACAAAGAGTAAATATGAGTGAACTAGTAAACGCTCAAGAACACGACAATTTCTTCAAGAATTGGCTCTCAAATAGCTAAGAAAAATAGGAATGCTTATGCAATGAAGGAGTATTGAAATGTTGAAGAATTGTGTATTAAAATGAGAGGATTTGGGTGCCATTTTATAGCCCAAAATGGGATAAATCCGTTTCTAGAGTTTCCAACAGGATGAAGACAATTTTTTCAGAGACACAGGGTGATAGTCGATTGTCAAAGCTTGATAATCGATTATCCAAAGATTCCCTGTCCAAAAATTTAAAATTCTATCCGTTGGAGGACAACGGTAACCCAGATAATCGATTGTCAACAAGTGATAATCGATTATTGGTCCTCTCAGAAGATTCTGGGTTTTGGCTGCAAAGACTGATAATCGATTATCGCAAAGCTGATAATCGATTATTGCGTGCTTCAGAACTTTGGAAGTTCAAAGCTGCAGGGGCTGATAGTCGATTGTCACTAAGGTGATAATCGATTATCACCCAGCTAAAGTCTAGCCAGC